CGAGGAGCTTAGAGGAGGAGTCTCGGGGGTCACAGGCTTTAATTCGCACGTATAAAGTGAGCTCTTTCTGCGTCGCAATGCAATCCTCAAATGCTTTGAAGAATTCAAGTGTGTCTCCGGCTACAAGTACACAAAGCCGATGTCAGGACAATTACATTCGACAATCGAAGTGACGACATACGATGTAACAATTCCGAAAAATTTCGACCGGCAACTTGTTCTTCTGGATACCCTGTTACAGCATTAATTGCAGCATCACAGTGAATAACAGTCCCAGTTTGAGAAAAGACGAGAATGGCAACATTGACAAGCTCCGAGATCAATGTATCAGCCCATCTCTTTCTTTTAGTAAATTCAAATATTGCTTGTGATTTTGAAGCGTTGAGTTCGTCGTCATCCATGTTTACAGGGACGAAGGTGGATTTAGGCTAGTGTGGGGGGATGCAGGTGGGGTCCAGTGCCTTGACGAGCATCTACAGTGGCTAATGTCTGGAACAGACGGCTCTCTAATCACTCATTTCGTCCAGAGGTTATACGACGATGTCTCTCGTATCGAGGCTTTGATAAAAGTTGTCCACAATGGTGAGCCCACCCCTCATCCCGCTTGCAGGAGGGCTATGAGTTATGATGCTCACACCCCGTTGAAGACGTTCAGTTTCTAGCCGAGGCTGGCCAGATCAACACAGACGAAGCGGCCTTCATCCTCTCGAAGGTCCCGGCGATTGTCAGTCCAGGTGCCTTGGTCACCAGCAAGCACAGTCTTCATCATTCACGGGTGTCCGTGGATAGCACAAATTCAGCTGGTCTACCCGACTTGAACGGTGCTGACGCTGTGGCCCCACCTTCGTATCCGTCACTGGAGAATGCCATAAACAACGTGCCCCGTACAACCCAGCCTGCGGCACCAAAGAGACAGGCGAGGGCACTCTGGGATTACAACTTAGATAGCGAGGTTCGTTACGATGTTCCCTTTTCGTCCCTATCGCCGCGAGGAGTCGACCCTCCCGGCTCTTGCGGCGTCGTGATGGATCTTTCGACACCATGGCTCAATGCATCCCCAACAGGAACCAGAGGATCTGTCATTCATAAAGGGCGCCATAATCGAGGTACTCACAGAGGATAATGAGGGTGGGTGTCTTAATCCAACGATCCCCGCCATTCAACGCGTGTATTCACTCATGCTACCACACGTTTGCAGACTGGTGGACAGGCAAATGCAATGGACGTACAGGCATTTTCCCATCCAACTACGTCGAATTATTACAACATCCACTGCCAACATGGAGCACACTTCCACCCGCGACAGTCACAAAGGCTCGTCCGCCACGGGAGTCTGCGCCGAAATACGTACCATACAAGATCGCTCACGTAACCATGAGTAATCCGTCGGATAACACCGCCAACTTCTAATGGAGCTATTAACGGGACGACAAAAGTATATTCAGATACGTCAGCGGCTTCGCACACTCGGCGCCCGGTCCCCAAAATCCCCGTGGTTAACACGTTCCAGGCGCGAGCTTTGTGGGACTACAATGTGGACAACGAGGCAAGTAAACCTCCTCTTCCAATCAGTGATGGTCCTAATATGTGCTCTTTATAAATTTACCTCTTTAGCATCCTGACGATCTAAGCTTCTTTCAAGGGGATGTGATAGAAGTGGAGGACAACTCAACTGAGAAGAGCGAGGATTGGTGGCAAGGCAAAGTTGGGGGACTCTCAGGGAAAGAGGGCTTGCCTGCGTGAACCTTATGGATCTGGGCATTGATCCTTGCCACATCCTCATAG